CGTTCTACTTCAGTGGGACTTGGCACTGAATCTCCATTGGGTTCTTCAGGGTTTCATAAAAGAAAAGGGGTGTCTTTCAAAGTAATGTGGATTGCCTAGGGTCTTGTGACAAGGGAGAGTTTGTTTAAGAAAGGCTATGGCGTAGGACAGAGATAGATGGAAGAACCCTTCATTCTGAGCACAGGGAGAGCTTTGCTCTAGAAGTTGGGCAGGATACTTTTGTTAGATTCAGCAGAATTAAAAGCAATCACATCCATGGTCCTTGCAATGGAGTCAATGCTCTTAGAATAACTTATATGGGCTGTATTTCTTGCATGTTATCACGGGGTGTCTTTGGAGTCCCAAGTAATTCATACCATTATTGTATAGTAAGGTCTCTGCACAATGTCAGGGCATGTAAAATGAGACTATTATTCCTCAGGCTGGGGGAGAGAGTGAGGTAATAGAGAAGAGGAAGCTTCTGTTGGAGGGTTCTCCTGGCTGGAGATGGAGGATAAAAAGAAATTCTTCTTTTCTTGTGTTTTAATCCTCCAATAAAGCCCTCATTTGATAACCATATTGTGGGATGGGACAGCATGATACAGAGGAAAGTATGCTGGTTTTGGAGTTGGAGGACCCAGGTTTAATCCTGTTTCAATCAATAAACATTTGTCGAGCACCTACTATGTGACAGGCACTGTACTAAGTGCTAGGGATACAACAAGAGGCAAAAGACAGTCCCTGAAAGTGATACATGTTGGAGCTTGATAATTTTGTTATATATTTGAAAGGAATTGCAAGTTACAGAGTAGATTTGCAGTTTCATGTGCAATCATCTTTATTACTGTACTACATTATGGAAATTCTTGTTTTATTCCATAAATTAAAAATAAAATTTAATAATAAAAAAGTCAGTCCCTGCCTTCAAGGAGCTTACAATCAAATGGAGAAGACAACATGCAAATAAATCTATACAAAGCAAAGTACATATAGGATAAATATGAAATAATTAATAGGTGGAAGGCAAAGGAATTAAGAGGAGTAGGAGAAGGCTTCCCGTAGAAGCTGGGATTTTAGCTGGGACTTAAAGGAAGCCAGAGAGGTCTGTAGTCAGATCAGAGGAAGGAGAGCATTCCAGGCATGGGGGGCAGCCAGAGAGAATGCCTGCAGCCAAGTAATGGAGTGTCTTGTTTGTGGAACAGCCAGGAGGCCAGTGTCACTGGATGGAAGAGTAGGGCTTGGGGAGTAAGGTCTAAGAAGCCTGGAAAAGTAGGAGGGGGCTAGGTTACAAAGGACTTTGAATGTCAAACAGAGAATTTTGTATTTGTTCCTGGAGGCAATAGGAAGCCACTGGAGTGGGAATGGTAGGGATGGTGACATGATTGAAACTTCTTTTTAGGAAAAGTACTTTGGTGGCTGAATGGAGGATGGATTGGAGTTGAGAGAGACTTGAGGCAGGCAGAACCACTGACAGGCTATTGCTATAATCCAGGCATGAGGTGATGAGAACCTATGCTAGAGTGGTGGCAGTGTCAGAGGAGAGAAAGAGGTGTATTTGAGACATGTTTCTTTCTCTTACCAATTGTGTGACCTTAGGCAAGTCATTGAATTTACATGGAACGTAGTTTTTTTCAGCTGTAAAATGAGGAGATTGGAATTGATTATCTCTAAGGTCCCTTCTGCCTGTGAATCTATGATCCTAGGAGTCTTTGTGATAAGGAAGTGACCCCAGGTTCTAAGTGTGCTCCCTTCTCACCTCTGCCTCAAAGACTCCCATTCTTCCTTTAAGATGCGGTCAAACACTATCTTTTTCATGAAGCCTTTCTTGATCCTCCCAAATTCCAGCTCCTTTCCCTCTAAAAGTCTTTGTATTTAACTCCTTTGTATGTATTTTATTTATTAACTTCATATTTATATTGTGCATTATTTATTTATATTCTTATTGTCTCCCCTACATAAACTCCTTGTGATTAGGGACTGTTTCATTTTTTGTACTTGAACCCTTAATGCCTAGACCAGTGGCTGGCGCATAGCAGGTGCTTAATAAATGTTTGTGCCTTCCTATGCCAGGAGAGCTAAACTTGTGACAGGTCCTACTTGGCTAAGTTTGGAAAGTCTCATCATCTAAGGGTTGGCCATAGGGTAATGATTTGTTTGGTAACGGCAACTCATGAACACCATCTACTAAGTCTTACAGGGGACATGATCTGTACCAATCAATCAATCACTCAACTAATAAGCATTTATTAAGCCCTTGTTGGCACTGTGCTAAGAACTGAGAACACAAAGAAAATTTAAAACGTGGTCCCTGCCCTCAAGGAGCTCACGTTCTAATGGGGGGACAACATGCAAAGATTGTTTGTGCAATATGAGCTTCTCTGTAATTCTGCAAGTGGCCTTGATAGATTCCTTCTCTTGGCCTGTTGACCAACTCAGAATACACACATGATAGACATATACACATATCCATACATACACACACACACACACACACACATGAATAAGAAACAAAGAAGAAAAATGTTTTCTTATTCTATCTCTTTTCCATCAGTCTTAGGCCAATCTGATTAATTAGTTGGAATATTTACTTAGACTGTGAGTGTCCCTTCTATTCCTTACTAAAAATTTCCAAAAACCTTTTTTTTCCCCTCTGGAAGTTTGTACTTTCTTTAGTTTTAAATTTTTCATGCATTGTATGTCTGTAATTATAGTCATTTATATATAGTATATGCGTATAAATATGATATATTAGCATCTACACATCTATCTATCTATGCAAATCTCTTTCTCATTATATATTAGGGCTAATGCTTATTCATATCAGTAGATTATTAGATGACTAGATGGTGCTTATGTTGACACTTTCTCAGCCACTCACATCTGCTACCTTTATTAAGGGCTCTCACATGAAAACTTGTTGAGCAATAACACTTGGGTGTTTTTTTTTCTCTCTAATCACAAGGCTAATGATTATTTTTAAGACATATCTGCTGATGACTATAGGTACCCATTATGAAAGGTTGTGGCTGAGAAGAGTGATGTGTGACAAGAAATATTTTCTGTATAGTATAAATAAACATAATATTCTGGTCTGTGAACAACTTATCTGAGAGATCTTGGTCAACAATGTTATATCTGGCATTCTCTATCTATTTGTAGCATGGGAAGGAGTTGGCAAGATTGATGGGATCACATCACTTTAGAATAGGAAGGACATTTAGAGATCACAGGAGTGGGGAATCTCAAGGCCACACATGGCTCTTTAGGTCCTCAAGTGCGGCCCTTTGACGGAATCCAAATTTCACAGAACAAATACCTTAATAAAAGGATTTGTTCTGTAAAAATTGGACTCAGTCAAAAGGCTGTTTGTACCCAAGGACCTAGAAGGCCACATGTGGCCTCAAGGCCACAGGTTCCCCACCCCTGAATTAGTCTAAAACTTTCCTTGTGTAGGTGGGGAAAACTGAGACCTAAGAGGTGAAGTGAGTAACACAGAAGGTTACTAGTGGCAGAGCGAGGATGTCGTGTTCAATTTTAATCAGCTTAATATTAGAAGTAAAAAAAAACCCAACAATTAACATAATTATAGAATCTTAGAGTTAGAAAGCTTTTGGATTTCAATCAGACAATGACCACTGATTACATTCGAGCATTTAAGCACTTTCCGTGTGTCAGGTACTTTGCTAGATGTGGGGACACAGATGTGAAGTGGGAGAATCCTTGACCTCAAGGAGTTCACAGAACACGCAATAAAATAAATACACAGGGATCTGGGGAGCTAAGGGATTAACAAATGGAGGAATAGAGGAAGATCTCTTGAAGGAGATGGAGCTACATGTTCCAAGACCTGAGGAGGTGAGCTGGGAAAGGATCCCAGGAATAGGGGCCAGCCTGTCCAGAGGGTGAGAACAGCAGGCAGTCTGGATTTGCTGGAGCGCAGAGTGCATGAGAGGGAGTAATGTATAATCAAGCTGAAAAGATAGGCTGGATCCAGATTGTGAAAGGTTTTAAGTACCGAGCCAAAGAATGTACCCTGTATCTTAAAAGCAATTATATAGATGGGAAGTCCAAACTGCCAGCCAATAATATATTAAATACAAGTCATCTTAAATAACACCATTCTTTCATTCTAAAACTTTTCGTTTTCAAATACTTCCTTATGATTTCACTATTCCTCCCATTGAATGAAAGCAGAGAGTCATAGAATGTGAGGGCTTTTGGTGATACAAGGCAACTAAAACTAGGAGTGAGGTGAGATGAAACCTCAGCACCCACCAGTGGCTTTGAGATTGAAAACAACCACCGACCATTGGCATCATTCATATCTGTGTGTATTTTTGGGTTTTTACTTCACTGTGGAGAACCCTTTCATATTTCAAATCATTTTTAGTATCTAGCCCAGGAACATTCACAACTGTGACTGCATACTTAATAAATGCTTTCTGATGATGACTATTACGGTTTAAATGGTAATCATTTTCCCTTTGTGTCAGGTTTCCCTGCCCTCACCTGTGTCCAGGATATAAGCTTTCGAGAGCTTAAATCCTAATTTTCTTCAGGGTGGAGGATTGGGGGGAAATATCAAAACACCTTAATTATTTCTACATTTTATAAAAAATATTTTTATTTTTATTTTTTGGTGAGGCAATCAGGGTTAAGTGACTTGCTCAGGGTCACACAGTTAGTAAATGTCAAGTGTCTGAAGCCAGATTTGAACTGAGTTCCTGACTCCAAAGCTGGAGCTCTATCCACTGTGCCATCTAGCTGCCCCTATAAAAATTATTTTTAAAAAATCACCCCTTTCCTTCCCCCCTCTTACTGCCACTCTTCTTCCCCCTCCCTGCCTCCTTAGCCTCTAATTTAATCTAATCTGACCTGACAGATGGGCTCAACTATTGGTCAAAGTCTTCTCAACCATAAACCTGGGAGGGAAGATGTTAAATCACTAGAGCTTGGTATAGAGGGAATTATCCATCACAAAACCCTTTTCTTATTTTTTGCTTTGATTGTTGATTTTGCAGAAATCTCTCCAGCAACCGGCTTACCACACTGTCATGGCAACTCTTCCAGACGTTGAGTCTCCGTGAACTGTAAGTTCATCCTGAAGACCTTTCTCAAAAGCGGCTATGCGTATGTGTGTTTGTTTGTATGTGTATATGTACATGTACGTGTGTACTCAGGGTAGCAAGAAAGCAAGGTTAAGAGACTACATGTGGACAGTGCTGAAGTCTTTCATCTACCAGGCTGGACAGGAAGAGGTTATAATGTCCAGTGGGAGCCAAAGAGATCCATTACATAGCCTGCTTTCTGCCTAAATCCATGTTTAGGTAGAGTTCTTTTCAGAAGCTAACAGCCCTGCTGCCACGTGGGCCCTGGTTTAGTGGTCTGTGGCTAGTTAGATTTGGTGGTTTGAGACAGTGCTAATGAGGCCAAGGTCATGTGTTTAGTCTTCAGTTCTCTTCTTCTGCATTTGGCAGTTAGCTTTGTTCTGTTCCATGACTGATGACAACATCTTTAACCTCAGCCAGCCATCTTGCAAATGCACATTATTGGTTACAGTAGGAACAGGGTAAGAGTAGATGGATGAATGGAGATGCATGACTACTTCTGGAAAAAGTAACTCAAAGCAAATGCTGATGATGGAGTCAATAGTATTATTTTTGATCATGGAATAAATTAAGAAATGCCTTGGAGAAGACTCATCTTATGAATGGAATCCAGAGTTCCGGGTTCTGGGAATTCTACTCATGTCCCTTTTTATTTGATAACTCGAGTAAAATGCCTCAGCTCAAATTTTCAAAATGTAAATTTCTCCATTGTTTTTGCCAAGATGCAAGCGCTCTGGACTCATGCCTGGCCTGCTGGCCCTTCACCTCTTCCTCACGCCATCTGTCAGAACTGAAGGGCATGCATGAGTCATAATCATACCTTGAGAGGCACAGCTTGCAGGGAAGGGAATATTTACATCCTGTGTTACATTATTCCATCTCACCAAGTAGACACTACTTGTCTGCAAGGATCCTGAGGATCAAGAGCCTCTTCTATACCCACAGGAATGACTGGTTGGAAAAATGCAGGTATACTTTGATTTATAGAGGGAACATATGTGATCCTGAGAGGGTCTGCCATTTCATTCAAATCCTAGTAGAGTTTGTTATTTCCTTCTTAGGGTTTATCTTACCTTTGATCATGAGGACTAGGTGAGTGATGGTGCCTGATACTGCTGTAGCAGACCTTGTAGTCTTGTTTTCTATCTTTAGTGATATATCTCTGAAATTCACAGATATGCTACTAAAGACTCCTGCCATAGCTTATTATTTAGAGACTATATCTCTATTTATAAACAACTAAACAGGATTCAATTAGTGGTGCTATTAATACCAAATATAGAAAGGTTTTAAAATGAATAGGAAAATGTTGAAGATACTAGTGGCAAGATGTATTATTTAATTTGATCTATTGACTTTAGGAAATTGTCATAGAAACCTAGGATTTAGAAATGGAGGGGACCTCAGAGATTATCTGGTCTTTAGCTCTCATTTTACTATTGTGAAAATTGATGCAGTTTGCCTCAAGTTACCTCAATTGTAAGTAGCTGAGTTGAGATTTGAACACAAGTCCAATGAGTGTATGTCTAAGGTTCTTTTCTCTACACCATAATGTTAATTCTTTAAGAGATTAATCCTCCACTGTCCCATCATCTGCTTTCTTGCCAATACTATGCTTATGCTCAGCAGTATGCACACTTTGATATTCCACTTGTATTTGAGTAAAAAAGGCTCTAATTTTTCAATGACAATCTTATTGTGTGTAATCTGGAGTCTTTTATATTGCCGAGGCTCATCAGGGTGAAGGGGCTGATGTGCTGCACGTTCAATTTAGTAAAGAAGTCTGTGTAGTCTGAATTATCCTAACACATCTGTTGTGCATCTGTCATGGACAAGGCATTATTTTACGGGTTGGGAATGAAGTCAGGTATAAGACATGGTCACTAACATCAAGAAGATTGTGATTTAGTTAAGAATTATCTGTATTGGGAGCTTCTAGACTGGGGCTCCAGAGACACTGCCCCACTCATCTGGGAAACAGGATAGCATCTCTCTGGGGACATCGAAAGTCCACAGCCTACTGAATTATTGATAAAGTGTTCAGTGCTTCTTCTGAAAAATAATTGGACGTGAAATCAATGGTGTGCTGCCCTGGTGACCTGTTTTGTGGAGTTTTAGAAACAGTTGTTCAATAGATATATACTGAAAAAAAAGTTAGATTTATCCCAGAGGATCATGGGATTCTGCATTCATCTTCACCAGTGATCAATAGAGCTGTGAGCTATCAGTGACTTATGAACGAATGAAGATATTTTCTCAAGTGGAAGTCAGTGTGTTATCACTACCATGTCCACTGAGTATTTTATTTGTCACATTGTTAAATATAAAAAAAATTAAACAAAGAAATACCCCTCTGAGGAGGAATCAAGCAGGTGGGGGGGTCTATTTATGAGGAAGAATTAACATGCTAGATATGAAGTTTATCATCAGGCTGGAGAATGATCAGGTTGCTTTTTGCTGTGGCTATAATTAAAATCTAAACAATTCCCATTTCTGGCACACAGTCTGATAATAGAAGAAAAATATGATTATGGTTCCTACTCTGCAGGGGAACAGGAATGAAAGGCATTAGTAGGACTCAATGGAGATGCAAAGGAATTGTCAAGGACCAGGAAAAAGCTAAGAACCACTAGACATCGAAGGAGGAGAAAGAGAGGAAGCACCAAGCAAAAAGATGCTATAAATTATTGAATTTTCCTCAAAGGCTTTTCAAGGGATAATTTTCACAGCCCTTCTTGGAGACTATATCTGCATCTGCTGTGCCTGCATCTGTTGTAGAGGATGATGTTAGAGACAGTCTACAAAGAATTACATAAGCCTCTGAAAATTAAATCTGCATATTCTTTAGTAGGAATAACTTCAATGCAAAAATGGAGAAGTGGTGGATGATAAAAATGTGTTGGAAATCTGGCTTAGGATTAAGAATCAAGGAAGACTAATGGTTTGTAGACTACACAGCAACCTACATATCATGAACATTTCTTCAAGAAGTGAGTTGAGGTGTATCTTCAGAAATATGCTGTTCTCCAAATCTCCTTGAACAGTTATTATTGTTCTTGCTGTGATCTGTACTCTTTGTTCAAAGAAGCTTAATAGCCTCCTAATGAATGGCAGGTACTATTAAAGGTTTCTCTTCTTGGTTGCAGTTTCTGAGGAGGTGAACCATGGGACATTTTTTTGACTTGTGTGACATGGGAATTGGGTAGTTAAGAATATCATTTTGTATTGAAATTATGTTTCCTTCCTTTCTCCCTATAAGAATAGAGTCTTTTTTAGATCTTTATTTTCTTTAGATCTTAAAAGAAATTAAAGTCCTACTTTTGAGTTAAAAAAAAACAAAAACAAAAACCCAGCACTACTAAATAATGGGGGAGATGTGGCCAGATAATGTTCCACATGGAATGAAACTGGGGTTTGAGGCAATTGCAAACGATGTTAGTCAACTGTGTGGATTGACTGTCAAAAAAGGCCATTGTACTTTAAGTGTATTTATAGCATAGATGTGAAATATGCAACCATTGAGCCTAACTAGATTAAAATTTAATTGGGAACTATTTAACAAAATAAATAAAAATGCAGAAGAACATAGATCATTTCAATATGTGGCTGGATCCTTGTGCCTGGGTTAGCGGCTGAGTTTGTTACCACTTATTTACAGTATTAGTGTCCAAAAAAGGAAGATTATCATCTTGCTAGGATTGGCACTTGTCAGAGCACATTCAGAATATTGTGTTGATGTGTTATGTTTTAGGAAAGACATTGATAAATTGGAGAAGATCCAGAGGAGAGTAACCAGGATGAGAAAGCTTGAGACCATGAAGAGGTTTTCCCTAGAGAAGAGAAGAGCTGGAAGTGGATATGTTAACCATCTTCAAATATATGAAGGGTTATCACATGAAAGAGGGATTATATGTTTTGCTTGACCCCAGGGATTAGAACTTGAAGGAATGAGTAGAAATTAGGTGGAGGAACATTTTGGCTCAATTTAAGGGAAAAGACACAAACCTTTTCTGAACAATTAAAGCTTCCCAGCAATGAAATGGACTACCTACATCTCCATAGAATGTCATTTGGAGAGGATCAGAGAGGCTCTCTAGTCTGATATAGACTGGAAGAAAAATTCCCTCTACAATATATCTAACAAATAGTCACCCAGAGGTTGTCAAATAAATGGTAAATGGCTGTCCATTTGTTTGAACCTTTGTTAGGGATTCTGTTCAGGTAAAAATTTTGCTAGGTAGTTTCTGAGATCCTTGTCTCCTCTGAAATTTCATCATTACAAGAATTCTATTCAGGGAAGGACAAAGGAGACTGTTTTTCTTTTCCTAAACAGGTTATAATTTAGCTAGCCCTGGTATGGATTTCAAAGTTTCTTCCATAGTTATGGAGAAACATGACTTTTCCCACATCATTAAGAAGGTATGTACCTATCTTAGCAGTGCAATTGGACCAAAACCCCCAAAGAACCTGTCTAACTATCCACTAAGGGAGAAATTTCCATGGCCCATTTGACTTCTGCCTCAATGGACATATCATAGTATTGGCAGTCAGTATTTCTGTTTAATCCATGCTTAGGTGCTAAGATTAATTCTGTTGCATAGTACTCTGGACCCTTGCTTGTCCATTCCAGGATAGGAGGTCTAAGAGAGAAGGATAATAGAGTGAGGGCTAGCTCAGCAAGATAAATGTTCTTGCCTTCAATGAATAAAGTTGTCTTCAAAAGACCTTACTGGGTAAACTAGTCAGACAATTGGACATTTCTAGAGAGAGAGGAGGAAAAAAACCCCATCTTTCTCAGGGATACCTAGCAATGTAGTTAGAACTTAACTCAGCATAGGCAGGGACTAGTGGGTGATGGAAGGCTCAGGGCTCCAAGTCCTGGAATGTGAACTGTGTGATATCTTTCCATAACTGAAGGCTTCAGTGTCTCTTCCTGGTTTCTTAAAAGAGCTGGAACTGTGTTTCTTCGTGAACCCATGTTATATAGCCTGCCTCCCCTGAGTCTAATGAGGTTTGATGAAATGGCATGCCTATCTCTCCACTTCATGCCTTGACACCCTCAATCATAATCCAAGAGGGTCACTGGCACCAGGAATGCTATGGAAAAAGAAAAGAAAATCAGATAATGACTCCAGGAAAATCAGTTTTTCTAAACACCCAGTCATGGCCTTGGCCACATTGCAGAGAGCGAAAGTCTAGTTCAGGACAACATATTCAGTAACTGGACTGAGTTAATTTGTGGGAGGCCCCCTGGGTCCTGTGATTAGGCCCTGGGCCATTGAGGTGCTCGGGAAGGGTGTTGGTAAATTTTGCCCTGAAGCAGCTGCTGCTGTATTATTCATGGGGGCCTCATACATTATTGATAGGCCTAAGAAAGCTGTACTTTATTACTTACAGATCTGCCCCTGAAACTCAGGGATGGGAAACTCCTGCAAGTGACCTGATTTTGTGGAGGATGGCTAATAGAGAGGAGAGAAAAGGGCAGTATCATTATAACTAACTACTTTGCCCTTCTTTACCCCTTATTTAATTCTCCACCTGGTCCCCTCACCTTTCAGGGAGTCACAGTGATTGCTGGGTCTGCTACTTGCAAGTTGGGAATCTATAAGAATATCATATTAAAATCACTTTATGTACCAATGAATGCCTTATACAACATCTCACCTATAGCACTACTTCCAGAGTCAGTCACTCAAACCAATTTTCTACCTCTAGGAAGATCTGTGAATTTGTTTAGAACAACTTTTCAGCTCAGATATGTTGTTCTCTTCTGAATCTACTCTGACTTAGTAATGGTTTTCTGTTCTGAATCTACTCTAACTTAGTTATGGTGATGTAGAGACCAACCCCATGTAAGGAGAAACTTCCAAAGAATGTACAGAAATACAAGGTTAGTTTGGCAGGTAGTTACAGAACCCTCTACCAAATTCCCACTCCAAAGCCTCCTCATAGAATGGAGGTGAACCTCATTTCTGAAGGTCTATGCTAGTGGAACATAAGCTTTGGCAGATTGGCTATGCTGGGAAATCTTTGAGTACGGTTCTGGCAATGGGCTTTTCAAGGACCAGCCTATCTAAATATGCAAAGGCTCGTCACCAATGGGCTGGGCGCTCAGTGATTAATTCTTTGTTCATGTCAATTCATGAAACAAAGAAAAATGCAAAATCACCCTCGGTTCTGTGCTGCCCTCTTCATCTTCTTCAGCAACAGTAGCAGAGTGGTGAAAAAGAAGGCAGAGGGTGCTAAGAATCAAAATTTTAACATAGTCTATAAATGTTAACTGCTAGTCCTCTAAATGTCAATTTTCCATCAAATGACCAATGAATTGACACACTACTAGAGGATGTCAATATTGACATTCTCATTATAAGTGAAGACAAAAGTAAGTTGAAACTAAATGGAAGTATGGCTCACAAATTTTCCTTGGAGAGGTAAATAACAGAGTTGGAAGAGTTGGTTTAATTGTGCATCCAAAGGAAACAAAGGACTATCATTTCACGAGACACTTGGACATCTCTTACGGTAGTGCTCATTATGAATATTTGGTGGGGAAAAATCACCACAAAAAAAAATTGTAGCATATGTGCCTACATCTGTTGCAGAATATAAAGAGGTAGGAAAATTCCACAAAATTCTTCATAAAACCCTAAAGATTGAATTAACATATACTTTAATGCTTCATAACGTCAATGCAAAAGTGAGCATAAGGAAAGAAGAACAATGAAAAATATGTTGGAAAATCCAGTTCAGGATTAAGAAGAAAGACAGGCTAATGGCTTGTTGACTATACAGAAAACCATGTATCATGAATACTTTCTTCAAGAAGTGAGTTGGTATACATTATACATTGTGGAATAGCACCAAAAATGAAGCTGACTTTACAAAAAAATATAGCCTGGTTACCATTGTCAGAATTACTTCCAATCAGTTGTCTCTGTACAGTTAAACCCATTGACTTGTTATACCAAAGACAAAATTGATATCAAATTAGAAAAAAATATATAATAATATATACCATGCAATTAAAACAGCTCACACTTCATTCATTTAAACAAATTACCAAAGCTGAAAATGGGAAGTGAATAAAAGAACAGACAATGAAATAGACTAGGATATTTTTCTAATAACAATAACAATAGGTATCAGTTACATAATGTGTTAAACTCTGCAAAGCACTTTACATGTGCTGTCTCATTTGATCTAGAGAAGTTTAATTTATGTTAATCAATCACCATAAAGAAGAGTCCAAATGAGCCTACAAACCACTTCAGAATATGTTTAATCTCCTTATTAAATGAAAGAAATGTCCACCAAGGGCAACATGAATTTAAGATATACATTTATTTTAATATACATTAAATTAAATATAAAACCATGAGATAAAAATGGACCATATCTATAAAAGTATTTTAACAGACTATTTTTTCTATCAATGACAGAAAAGGTACCATATTTAGACTCTAAAATCCCAGTCCCTGATGTGCTGTATGAAGTAGCCAAAATGGTGCCAAAGGGAACAAAGGCACAAAGCACAGCTGGACCAGATCACATACTCACAGAGGAGGTTCACGTTAGGAGTGATGTAATTTTGAAGACTCTGAGGGATTTCAATCTCAAGAGATCCGAGAGAGGGAAAATGCCAAATACTAGAAAAGATCACAGACATAATTACTAGTAAAGAAAGGTGATGGAGAAAATGGTATAAGATAAGTTTTTAATTTCCTCTCTTTATGAAATCTTTCTAAGAATGATCTAAAAATATGTAGGTACATTTGATGAGGGTATAAGAAGAGAATAGGCTGGTTTTTGCAAATGATATGCTTTCCTAGACCACGTATTTATAATCATGTACTTGAAAAGTCCAAGATTTCAGAGCATTTAGTGTTGTTTTACTATTACAAAGCATTTGATTCAATATTGGAAAATACCACCTTAAAAGATGTCTTCCATACATATATTAAAACCATACACAATTCCTTAAAAGGTGTTAGAAGAGAGGCATATTTGTTTGATGGTCCACCCTAAGGCTTTTCAACAAATGAAATGGGCTTTTTTTCGGTGTTTCTTGCTAGCAGAGGTCTTCAAGTAAAGCCTGCATGACCATCTGATGGGAATGTTCTAAGACAAATTGCTATTTATGGTTCATCTTCTTTTGTACTCTAGGATAATGAGTCTTTAAAATCTTCCTTTCCATTTTAAGGCTCCTTTCCTACTTCAGGACCCCATTAACTTACACCTGGATTATTGCTATGACCTTCTAACTGTTCATCACTTTCAGTTTCTTCCTCTTCTAGTCAATTTTATGTATTTCAGCCAAATTTACATTGAAAAATCTCTTCACTTTGATCAGGAAAACCTTTAGTGGCTCCCTAGTCCCACCAAGGTAAAGTCCCCCAAACATTAATATGTATTTTTGGCTTTCTGAAATCAATGTCTCCTTTTCTTCTTGCATTCTTTTCTTGCTTCTTTCCAAAATTCAATACAATGAGCATTTATTAAATGCTAGTAAATGCAAAATTCTATGCTTAAGTGCTGAGAAAGAGTCAATGAGAGGAAGACAAGGCTCCTGGGTTTTTTAAACAGTGACTGAATGACCACTTGTCTGCATCTTATAGACGAGATTCTTAATCAAGTATAGGTTGGACTGGATGACCTCTGAGGTCTCTTATGATTTCAGAGTTCTGTGATTCTGTGACATGTAAACCAATCAACCATAATATTAAATAGAATGTGGTAAGTTTACCTAAGTTGTGTAAACATGGTTAATATGACTTCCAAGAAAACTTCTTACTTGGGGATACAGAAAAGGAGTCCCAGGGGACCTTTGAAAGATTGTTGTGATTATAACAGGTGGAGGTAGGAATGGAAGATGTTCTAGTTCTAGAAAATGGCATGTCACAGCAGGAAGTGGGATAATGCAGGTTTTGTTCAGGCAGTGGTGTTTGGCTAGAGCATAGAGTATTTGAAAAGGAAGCAGTGTAAGATAATTCTAGAAAGGTCAGTTTTTGCCAGATTGAGGAGCATGAATGTTCTTTGGTGGGTAATGGGGAGCCATTGAAAATTTTTGAGCAATGGAATGATGTAATCCATTTTGTGGGTGAGGTGTATTAATTACTATCTGGTGAATAGAAAAGGAAGCAGATTTAATTCATCTTTTCCCTAATTTTTGTAATTCAAAAAGAAAAAAAAATCATAGATGAGTAAACTTTTGGCAGTTTTTTATAAGGTTTTGTTAAATACACTCTTCCCTTAATCTATGAAGACCAGGTGTGAGCTATCTCTGCTTCTCTAGTAAAATTCTAGGAGTTACCCTGTTCTTTGGTTGAATGATTTTCTTTCTCTATTTTTGTCCATAGGAGATTAGAGCAAAATTTCTTCAACTGTAGCTGTGACATCCGCTGGATGCAGCTGTGGCAAGAGCAGGGTGAGGCCAAACTGAACAGTCAGAATCTCTTCTGCATCAGCACAGATGGCTCTCGAATTCCCCTGCAGCGTATGAACATCACCCAGTGTGGTAAGTAGGCTGAATGGAAATGTCAATTCTCCTGTCTTCTCCCTGCCCCTGCAAGGCCTAGGCTTCTTATCTTCTACTGCTGGGGCCAAAAATTATTATGTCAAACTATGACCTCCAGATTTTCCTACTGCTCCTTCAGCCCTGATCTTATGAAACACATGTGGGATTCAAGCAGATTCCAGTGTCCCTATTTCACTGTGCCATCCCTATCCATTTTGGGGACAGTTATAGAAGTTGGTTTCAGGCATGCAGGAGAATTAACCATATTCCTTTTAAGTATCTTTTGCTTCTTCCTCTCCATCTTCTTCTCTTAATGCGATTTAATTTTGTTATTTTGGGAAAAGCAGCATGATATATGGGCAAGAACACTGGTTAGAATCCAAAGAGCTGGGTTTGAGTCTATACTCCATTATTTATTAGTTGTATAACCTTAGCCAAGTCATTTCTCATCCTTGAGCTCCGTTCAGTATCCTTAGTGATAAAATGGAGAGAATGAAGTTTTCCCACACCTATCTCACAGGGTTGTTGTGAGGATAAAATCAGATTATTTATGTCTATCACGTAATCAATAAGTCTTAAAGAGTTACTTAAGGTATTTAGAGGTTTAATCAGCTTGTTCACTCTTCAAATGTCAAAGGTCAACTTTGCATCCAGATATTTTGTACCTCAAATACAGCAGTCTAGCCATTTTTCTATGCTGCCTAAAATGCATGGCAAACAGTATACCAACATACACATTTAAAACACTAATTAAAAATATAATTAAATTAAAATTATTTTAAAATATATTTTGTGTATCTATTGTTTTTACACCACCTGCATTTCCCAATGGATTCCTTCCTCCTTATCCCCTCCAAAACAGAGTCTTAGAACAAAACCATTTCAGCAAAACTAACCTAGACGTTGAAAAAGTCTGAGATGCCTGATATACAGACTTTCACTCTCATATTCCCCCACACTTACAATGAAGTGTTCAATGTAGCTCTTCTTTGGGAATATGGTGGTCATTAAGCTTTCATGCCATTCAGTTTTATTGTATTGTTGTTGCTCTTTCTATTCACATTATTGTAGTCATTGTAGGTATTCTTTTTCTGGCTTTGTTTCCTTCACTTTGCATCTGTTCATATGGGGTTGGTCTTCTTACATTTCCCCATGTTCATTAAACCCATCCTTAAACTCATCCTTTCTCATAGCATAGTAATCTTCCATTACATGCATATGTGACAAAGCTATTTCACAATTGACGGTCATTTAATTTGTTTCTACAGTAAATATTTTATTGCTTATGGGTCCTTTATTTTCACTGTTGACCTCTTTGAGGTATATATCTACCAGTGAGATCTCTGGGTTAAAGGGTATGGACATTTTAATCACTTTCTTAGTATAGTTCCAAATTGTTCATCAGAATGGTTAAACCACTTCAGATTTCTACCAGCCCGTGCATTAATGTGCCCCTCTAGCCACAACTGCTACATTGTTGACTGTTTCCATCTTTTACAATTCATTAGCTGTGAGCTGATACCTGAAAGTTGTTTTGATTTACATTTCTCTTATTAGTGATTTGGAGTAGTGTTTCATATGGTCACGAAAACATGAACTACCTATTCAAAAGTCAGTATATTTGCTGAGAGTGTGTTCCTTGGGGAAACTTCTCATCACTTTCCACATTCCACTGTTCCCTTCCTTGACCTCTCTCCAGCTCTTTTCTCCCTTGGGCAGGCTAAAGCAGGTGGGAGGGAAGTGCCTGGCATCTAGATGCTGCCTGCCACGTGCACCATGGATGGTGCTCTGTGGGCTGAGCTGTGAGTTAGAGCTGTGATCAATCGGTGTGTCCTGTTGTCTGTGTGGAGAGAAGGTCAAGGGCACCTTTTGCTTTGTGTCAAGCTGTTAATAAGGGGGATGGGACCAGTCTATTTCAGCTAGGGAATTATAAATTGTGTCGATTGAAACTGCATAAATGTTCAGTTTTGGTGGCCGGGAGTGAATTGTAGAGTCCTTACCCACCCTGGGAGAGAAAAAAAAGTTGATTACTAGTCTGTTCCATAGTGTGGTGATGAGGTCAAGCACCTTCCTAGTATTTACCATCTTACTGGTTGCCTAAGAAGAGAGACAACTCTTTCCTGAGCCCAACAACTCAAGTAAATTAAATACCTGCTTGCATGTTACCATGAAAGCAAAAAAGGCAGATGCAGTCCCTTCCTTTTCTTTTTTCTTTTCTTTTCTTTTCTTTTCTTTTCTTTTCTTTTCTTTTCTTTTCTTTTCTTTTCTTTTCTTTTCTTTTCTTTCTTTTTTTTCTTTTCTTTTCTTTTCTTTCCTTTCTTTTCTTTTCTTTTCTTTTCTTTTCTTTTCTTTTCTTTTCTTTTCTTTTTTTTTTTTCTTTCTTTTTCTCTTCTTTTCTTTTTCTTTTTTCTTCTTTTCTTCTTTTCTTTTCTTTCTTTTCTTTTTTTCTTTCTTTTTTTCTTTTCTTTCTTTTCTTTTCTTTTCTTTCTTTTCTTCTCTTCTCTCTTCTTCTCTTTTCATTTTTTTTTAAGGCAGTCAGGGTTAAGTGCCCAGGGTCAACCCAGCTAGTAAGTGTCTGAGGACAGATTTGAACTCAGGTCCTCCTGACTTCAGGGCCTGTACTCCATCCACTGCATAACCTAGCTGTCTTGTCCTTTCTTCTTTAGGAGATTCTTTAAGAGACATTCTTCAATGGATCTTTGTTGTTGTAGGATCTTTATACAGCAACAAATCTATTTGTCTTTTATATTTAGTGAAGAGGTGGCTTTGAATTTTCTTCTAAGACCAGGTTTCTCTGGTCTTTAGGACTCTGAGGGACAAAACCTGTTTGTCCATCTACCTTGGCTTAGCATGAGGCTTCTGACCAACTATAAAAGAAGCATAGGAGAATAGATTTAGAACTGGAAGAGACCTTAGCAATAATCTTGACCTATGCCCTCATTTTACAGCTGAAGTAACAGAGATCCAGACAGATTAGAGGACTTAGCCATGGTCACATAACTACGAAGTGGCAGAGTCAAGGCGTGAAACTTGGTCCCTCTGACTGCAGGTGCAAAACTATGTTATAGTTTTCTGCTTCTATGCAACCACTTGCTGAAAGACATTAGGTTGTAAACTCTTTGCGGGCAAGGACTATCATTTGCCTTTCTTTGTATCTCCGGTTCTTAGCACAGTGCCTAGAACATAATAGTTACTTGAATAAATGCTCGTTGATTTGTGGGGAGGAGTCTGATTTAGGACTTCATACTTGGGACAGTTTCTCTTTAAGGTAATCATGCACACCTTGGAGCCTGCTAAGCAATCATAGGCTCAAAGATTTAGAACTGGAAGGGACCTCAGAGATCATCTACTCCCTTATTTTACAGATGAAACAACTGAGGCCAGGGAAATTAAGTGACTTGCCCAAGGTAATCCTTTCCATTGTTCTTTATTGCTGTCTTGTTACCCAGATCTCATCTACGACTTTTTCCAGAATGTGAATCCTGTTTACTGAGGTAGGGGAGGGAGTGATAGCCTTCCTAAGCCTAGATACAGCTGCACAACCATTGCTGATAATTCTTTTGTCTTCTCTTACCCCTTAGACCTACCCGAGATCAGTGTAAGCCACATTAACCTGACAGTAAGAGAAGGGGAGAATGCTGTCATCACCTGCAATGGCTCTGGCTCCCCTCTGCCTGATGTGGACTGGACTGTCACAGGACTGCAGTCCATCAATACCCACCAGGTAGGCTTTTAGGAAGGAAAAGATGTGAACACAGGTCAAGTGTAATCACCACACAGTCTTAGAAGTGAGCTTCTCTCAGCTCCAAGGTACCAAGGGCTTAAAAAGGAATTGTAGCTGAATGGTTAAAGGGAGAAATAGACATTGGACTTGGGACTTGTCTTTTTTGGATAATTAAGTGCACCTAATGTAGTTTAAAAGTGTGTGGACAGCTATAGCTCTCCTACCTTGCTCTCCTTTGGGTTGTGTTAGACGTAGGAGGGGAAAGGAAAGGAATTTGGCGGTGGTGGGGAGTAAAAAAGAACTTTGGCTAGAGGTGACTTGACCATTATTTTTCCATTGGGGTTTTCAGACAAACCTTAACTGGACCAATGTTCATGCCATCAACCTGACCCTGGTCAATGTCACCAGTGAAGACAATGGCTTTACCTTGACCTGCATTGCTGAAAATGTGGTGGGCATGAGTAATGCTAGTGTGGCACTCACCGTTTACTGTGAGTATGGGCATATGGCATCTCCGTGAGAGAACCTAGGGCTCAGAAGAGCCTATGGGGTGGGAAACAAGGGACATCAGTAGAGCTGACTTAGAGTTGAAGGTTTCTTGCCTAGAAGCTGTGAAAAGGACAGGGAAATAATGTACACATGTATTAATGTACACACATGGTTTTTCTGAGTCTGGGCAAGGGGGGAGGAGTACCTAATTCTTGTAGAGGTGTGTCTGCAATGCGTAGACACTGCTTGTAGAGGTGTGTTAAGGCCTCTCCTGAGATGATCTTGTAAGCATGCATAGTTTTGGATCTTGTCCCTTACCTCTCTAGACAAGCTTCTGAAAGGTGCACAGATGGAGATACCCTACTGAGAGGAATCTTGGGAGTCTGGCTGAACCAAAATGACTTTCCACTTATCAGCTGGTGGAGCTATCATTCCTCTAGACAATCTTTTGAAAAAGAAAGTAGGCAAAATCTGTGATGAGAAGCCCCAGTTCCTCCAAGGTTCCAGGATATGAACGCTTGAAATATCTCAGCAATTTAGATGTTCTTCCCTTTGGCAGATCCTCCACGTGTGATGAGCCTAGAAGAACCTGAACTGCGTCTGGAGCACTGCATCGAGTTTGTGGTCCGGGGGAACCCACCCCCAACCCTGCACTGGCTGCACAATGGGCAGCCGCTGAGGGAATCTAAGATCATTCGGGTGGAGTACTACCAGGAGGGTGAGGTCTCTGAAGGCTGCCTCCTCTTCAATAAGCCCACCCATTATAACAATGGCAACTACACCCTCATTGCCAAAAACCATCTGGGCACAGCCAATCAGACCATCAAGGGTCATTTCCTCAAGGAACCCTTTCCAGGTGAGGGGAATGCAGTTTTTTTTCCCACTTTGGGGTAGACTCAATCTCCCCAAGAGTTTCCAGTTATATTCAGTAGTCTGTGGTGGGGAAGAGAAAACAACTGTGCTTTTATATTACCAATATGAATTGATTGGATAAATTGAATTCGACTAGAACCACTGTGCTGAGTCAGCACAATCTGGATACATATCTTACTTCTAAGAGGCTACCATTCCAAGAGGGTAGCAGACATGCATATGTGCATGGTTACATATTCAAGGGCATAACCCTCCATCCCTCTGAAGCAGAGACATACATAGATATTTTGAAATGGAAAAGACCTCAGACATCATCTGGACTAACCTCCTCATCTTACAGAGGAAGAAACAGATCCATGCTGGGGGAGTGACTTGTCCAAGGCCACACAGCCAGGTAGTGTCAGACCTGGAATTAGAATTTGGGCCCTCTGACTCTAAGTCCAATCTTCCCCCTTCTCCCCACCTCACACTTCCTTATGGCCAGGGTTGGGGGGGGGTGTGAGAAATTATGGAAGTGTACTAAGGAAATAAGTCTGTGATAGAGTCAGGGAAGAGGAGATAATGGGCTAAGGGCAATGACTCCAACAATCTAAGGAGCTTCAATTATATTATGACCTTGGGAAGCTGATAATTTTTCACTCACTCTCCGCACAATCTGGGCTGGATCACCCCCAAGTACTTCTATTAGTTAGAGAATTTCAGGATCAGAAAGAAGAAAAGCCCAGCAAAGGTTAACAGGCAGTGAATTAGGTTACTTAAGAGGATTATGTAATCTCTTGTTCTATAAAGTGATAATTTAGGAATCAGGCATCCCACTCTTAGATGATTTAGGTATTTGCTTATAGGGGATAGACTAGAGCAACAGTTTTCAAAGTGTGATCCAGAGATCCCTAGGGATTCATAGTTCCTTTTAGGAGGTCCCTGAGGTCAAAACTGTTTTTCATAATAGTACTAAGACATTTGAATTTCCAATGTGGTAAATATTGATGGATATAACCCACATAAGTATAAGCCTGTTGGGAGTCTTTAATAAGTTTTATGTGTTAAAAGGTCTTGAGAGCAAAAAGTTTGAGAACTGCTAAACTAGATAACCCCTTAAAGTTTCTTGTAAGGGAGGAGTAAAGGAAAGAGTAGTTTAGGATGAGAAAAAGACATCAGGAGCTAAATCTGTGTATTGTTTGCTTGTTGTGAAAGGGGACTTTGCAGTCCACAAATAACTGAGAAGTGTCAACTTCAGGATGCCTTATTTAACTTAGTGCAAGAGGGCTATAATGAGGAGTACTGGGAGCAAAGGAAGAAAAGGAAAAATGAGGCTGCATGTTGAGAAAACCTTCCCAGGGAGACCCTGGAGATTAGAGAACAATCTTTCCTAAGGAAATGATAGGGACTGCAATGCTTCAGTTACTGAAAACTACATATGGGGGAAACTCAAGGGAGTTTCCAAGCCCAGGCCTTAGGAAGATCCTAGTGGGCTAAGTCCAAGAGATTTTTTTGATTGGCTCATTCCTCCTTAGTCTTCTGGAGGATGGAAATAGTTATGGCCTTCACTTTGAGTACAAAGAGTTCTCAAACTCAGAGATGGTTGGGTTGTGTATAAGACTTAGTGCAAAGATTAGCTCTATAGATTCTTAGAGTTAGAAGGGTTGCTTAGAGGTCATTTGATCCATTCCACCATGTGCAAGGAGGAACACATATAAATTTGCTTAGAAAAGTGTAAATCATTTCTTTTAAAAAGACTACCTAGAAGTAAACTTAGTATTCTCTTTCTGAAATCACCCATCCTGTAGTGGGAAAAACAAACAAACAAATAAACAAACAAAACCTTTGGACTTGGAGTCAGCAGACTTGGGTGCAAGTTCTACCTCTGGACACAATAAATATGTGACCATGGCAAAGTCACTGGACCTCTCTTTCTTCACCTGTAAAATGGGCATAATTATACCCATAGCACCTACATCACAGTGCTGTTTTGAAAACCAAATAAGGTGATATATGCTTTGTACATCTTAAAATTCTACATTAATGCCAGCAATAATAATAACAATTATATAATAATAACAACAACAATAACAATGATGATGACGATGATGATGATGATGATGATTGGGTGAGGCAGTGAACTGTCAAAGTCTTTGAATGGACTGATTTTGCTGTCTAAGAGAGGGGATCAGTGAGGTTAAGTTGGACTTCCCTTTTATAGGCCCTGTCAGGGAAGTGAATATACAGAGACCAGAAACAATGGAGTGGTGTCTGGTATCCAGAAAACTTAGTTCCCTTCCATCCTGTGGGAGTGAAGCAGCTTTTTGTATTCTTCAGACATGCAGGAATCTGCCCTTTTATAAAACTCAGTGGCTCTATTTTTTTGACAAAGACTCTAGATACCTTTTGATTTTTCATTCAGACATCAAAATTCATCAGAATAACTTCTAGAATATGCTGGTGATGACGGTACTGTTGGTGGTGGTGTGTATGTGTATGTGAGTGTAGGTAGCAGGGGAAGAGGGGGATGTCCTTGGGGAGACCTAGAAGACCTTTACTATGAATTATACCATCTGACTCATTTGCCCCTTAACTGGGAACATTTCCAGCTATAATTTCTTAGACCCATTGCATGAAAGTTTAGTTTCATTATAGAGCAGTGATTTTTTAATAATTTATTTCAATTTAATTCAGTACTACAAACATTATTAAATACTTACTATGGACAAGGCACTGTGCTGGGCAGTAGGGATGCAAAGATCTATAATAAATATATGAATGCATATGTATATATGTGTATAATAACTGAACATACACATCTACATATATACATCTGTGTATATATGTGTGACATATATTTACACACATATATGCACACACCTCTTGCTGTCAGCTCTCGTAGGCCTTTACAACATAATAGTGGGTAAATGACATACACTAATAACTGATACAAGTAGGGTGTGTGATAAGTACGAAAGAAAAGATCTAATGAAAGTTGGATGAAAAATTTGAGGAGGGAAAAAACATTTTCACTGAGGGAAGGAAAATGGCAGGCAAAGTTTCTTGGAGGAGGTGGTGACTCCATTGAAAGAAGGGAGGGATTTCAACAGGCAGAGAAGTTGGGTAGGGGGTATTCATCCATTCTAGACATTGGGGGACAGTGTCAGCAAAGGCATGGAAATGGGAGAGAGTAAGATGAGTATGGAGTTTGACTGGCACATAAAGTTAGAAGAAAAGGAGTAATTTGAAATAAGTTTGAATAGTTAATTGAAGCCAGGTTAGGGAAGGTCTTGAATGCCAAATAAACATGCTAAATAGAGCATGGGGAGTTACAGAAAGTTTTTTGAGAAGAAGACTGGTATTGTATTAGGAAGATTGTTCAGACAATAGTGTGAAGAAAGGATAGGAGAAGAGACAGATCTGAAGTAAGAAGATGAGTTAAGAGGCTATTCCAGTAATCCTGGTGAGAAGTAATGAAGGCCTAATTAGGGTGAAGTACTATGGAAGCAGAAAGAAGGGTACAGACTTAAGAGATATCATCAAGGTTTGATTGAGGAGCTTTGGGCAATTGGATTGGGTAAGAGATTAGAGTAAAAGATGACTCAGGATGGTGGTGACATTAAAAGAAATAGAGATGGTAAGGGGTCTTTGGGTATTGGGGTGGGAAAAGGGAGTTTAGTTCACTTTTAGCCATGTTGGAATTAAATACATGATGAAAAAGTGGTGACAGGGAACAGATGGAAAAGTCATATGAAAGTGACGAGGGATGAATGTATACAAAAAGGTGAATTGTTTGGGAGATGGAGCTAGAGAAGAATAATAAGGCCTATTCTTACCATCACCTTCCCTGTCTCCCCAACCTAGGAAGCAAAGCAACTGTAGGAATACATGGTATATTCTTTCTACTCATGAAGGGTGTGGAGAGATATGCGTACTCTTCCCTCCCTAGGGCATTCTTCCAGGGGTGGGGTGATATTCCACTAAGATGCTGCTGCATCTTAGAGATATGTCTGTAAATGTGAGAATCAGCAGAATTTCTGAAATTGAACAGAAAGGTTCCAACAGATTACCTTTAGTTCAGGCCATCTAAACCCTGCTGACAAAGAATCCGTCTTCTTTTAAAAAGATCCTCTGATAGGAAAGACATCGGACCAGGGGATAGTGTTGTCAATATTTCCAAGAACGGGGTGGATCAGATCCTGGGGTCCCAGAAGGAAGCATTCCAAGCTGATAAAGATATCACAGCAAATGCAAGTTTATTATCAGGAACCTGATACTTCAGGATTCAGTGCCCTCATTCAGATTTGCTGTTGTGGTAGAGATCGTCCCATTCCCTAGCCTCATGTATACTCACAATATATTATTCCACTGGTAGTTGCTTTTCAACTAAACAACCCCTATTCCCCCTTTGTCTCTGTTAAGAAAACAACTTGAGACATCTTATTTTGGGAATGGCTCCCCGGGGTAAGCCATCTGAGGGCTTATCCTGAGTTGGGGGTTTTTGCTTCCTTTTCATGTATCATGAGTCAGAAATAGAGCAAGAATGGCACAGGTTAATAATTAAAGAAATAGAATAAAAGCTTTCTCAATGTGGAGATGTATTTAGTAAAAGGGATTTGGGAGAAGCATGAATTCTCCCTTGAATGACTATTCTGAGCCCCAAGGAAGTCTGAAAGTACAAATGAGGAAAGAAAGTAATCAAAGGGGACATTTAAGGAGCATTCTAAAAATAGGTTCCACCAATAAGAATGTGATCAGAGAAGTAGTGGGCACATTAGAAATGGACTCCAGCTTTGATACAAAGAGTGGTCTTCTGTCCAGAATGGTTATTTTAAAAAGTGTGATGCCAGATCTGCTTAGGGTCCTTTGGGCCTGGAGAGGCTGTCAGAAAAGATCAGAGTCTGAGAGAGAGGGATGCTGTAAGGAATAAAGATTAGAGGGAATAGTCTGAAGAAAAAAAAAACAGAGGAAGATGGATGATTACCCACAGGTGGAAGGAGGAAGATCAGGACTTAAAGATGTTCTCAAGTTAGGGAAATAGTAATTGAGGGGTATAAGAGAAGGGAAGTGTTATTAGGCTGAGTTTGGAAATCAGTCAGATGTCAATGGGGAATTTTCACAGAAAATACTTAGGCATTCAATCCAGTGACACTGGCCTCTTTTCTGTTCCTTGAGGCTTATCTCCTGACTGGGTATTTCACTGGCTATTACCTATGCCTAGAATGCCCTCCCTCCTCATTTCTGCCTTGGCTTGTCTGTCTTCCTTCAAGTCCCAGATAAACTTTCACCTGCTACAGGAAGCCTTTCCCAATACCCCTTAATTTGAGTACCTTCCCCTTATTGATTTATCACCAATTTATCCTATAGACAGCTTGTTTGTATTAGAATAGGAGTTCCTTGAGAGCAGGGATTGTTTTTTGCCTTTCTTTGTATTCCTAGCACCTAGCATAATTGCTGGCACATAGTAGACCCTTAGTAAATATTTTCTGACTGATTTTGGTTGTTCACTTGGTCATTTGGTGGCTTCTCTTTGAAGCCTTAGGGCCAGGTCTGTTAGGAGAATGAGTAGTAGAAAAAGGCTTGAATTGGTCAGGTCCAGCTTGTAAGCTAAGGTTCTGGTACCATTTCCCTTGACCATGCCAGCTGCCTTCCACCTGAGGGCATAGTAGGGGTTCAGAGGTACTGCTGTCAGTGCAGTATAGGGAGCTGGGAAAAGGGTGGCCATTTTAGCAGCATCATCATCAGAGGGAGAAAGTTTGACTCTAGCTGTTTTTAAATGAAGCTTGTATACATGAGATGCATGTGTTAGTGAGCAAAGAAGCAAAAAAGCCCATTTCTTCTCATCTATGACCTGGGTTTTGACTTTTTTGGAGGGAGAAGAGAGGAAAGATCTCTTGTTGTCTTTGCTTTCGAGCCATATTTGTATCTTGGCTATGATCAGGCATGGTTGAACAGAAGTTCTTGGCTCTGTTTTCCTTTCTGTGGGCTTTACTTGCTTCCATTGTTGGGGGCCTTCCCAGGAGTGTGTCGGGCCTGTGCCCACTGAAAGATGTGAACTATATTCTTCCTAGAACAAAGTATTCAGGTGATGATCTGACAAGGATGTTTCTCTCCCCACTTCCCAACACTTTTTCCCAGTCCATTCTCCCATTCAGATTTAGGTGTGAGTCCCTATTCAAAGCAAGTTACTATTATCCCTACCCATCAACAGTGTGAAACCCCAAATCCACCCATGGGTTCTGTGCTGTGAATGTGGCACCTTGTTTCAGTGCCCATGTGACTCTTGGATGGATAAGTGTTTCCAGACAGCAGCTAAAGGATTTAAGCATTCATAGGCTGATTGGCAGATTACAGGGTTCACAGACTCGGTTAAAACATTTGGCTGACGTGAGAATATTCTCTAATAAATGAGAACCTTATGAAAAACATGCAAATCAGCATGAACCTGTGAGTTGATCTGGCAACCCTGTTCTTTCAGGCTGTCAGGGCATGACCATTAAAAAAAAAATTGGTCAGGCATTTTGTCACCTAGAGTATGGAGGCAGCAGGAATATCAGACCAGGAATTCAGATGAGGCTTAACAGCCTAAGAAAACAATGAATTGATACTGACTAGTGTTATGTCAGAAGCGTCTGGGTTAAGCCTTCCCAAAGAAAACATCACTTTCCATTGAGGTCATTACAGAAGACTGTTTACTGGCTACAGCCTGATGGAACTGGCAAGGTGGAAAAATTGGATCAAGGGACTATAGTTTTCATTCATGCCCTCACTGAGTGTATCATAGGTACTTGGTAGAAAGGCCACTTCAGGATGTCACCTTCCCAAGCTTCCTACTTCAGGAAAAAGGTATATCTTTGTGATCTGTCAATGTAGAGGGTCTCTTGATATTAACAGGGAAATAGAAGAGAAGTCAACTCTTCTGGGAGATGGAGGGAAGTATGTCATGGAAGAGCAGAGATAATCAGTACATACAGGGCATGAAATCTGTTCTGGGGTTAGAGCACCACAAAACAACCTGTTTTATTTGCCTTCTAACACAAATGCTTGGACTTTCATTCTTCAAGCACGAGCACTTTCAGAATATAATGGAAAAAGCAGGCTTCTCTCCCCGATGCTCTTTACTTCTTACCCTTACATCTCTCCCTCCACCATCACTATTCTCCCTGGGATCCAAAGAAATAACTGTGGAGTGATACAAGAGGGCTGAGGTTCCAACTCCTCTCGCCACAGTGAAAACAGCATGACCTCCAGGTGTGGAGACAGTGATGCCTCTTCCAATCAGAGTGATTATCTTCAGTCTCTCCCCCAACACTGTGGACATCACACTAAGGTGATAAAATGGGATAGCTGGCCTGTAGCTGTAAAGTTGTCAAAGCAATGATACATCAGGGTGAGGGGGAAAGGTGATGACTGGCAGAAATGGCTGTCTTACTCCATTCTGTTTTTTATTAAATGTGTTAATTATCTCTTTGTCCTTTTTGCAGAGAGTACGGATAACTTTGTCTCAAGTAAGTCTCCTTTGCCTCTTGCTTTGTAATTGTTCATGTTCTCGATCCTTTCTGTTAGTTCCTCTGAATTCAGACAGCCTTCCTACCTCCCCCAGCCACAGTTGAGAGGATGTGAGATATCTGTGGTAGAGTGAATTGGAGTATAGTGTCTAGGCTGCTGGGGCAATTTCTCCTAAGCTCCTTTTTACCTAGGGAGAACTCTAGGGTTAGCTTTTTAGATGCTGGGTCCCTATACTCCAGTTTTACTTACCTGACTGAAGTTAAGGCTGTTTAGAGGGTTTGAGGAGTTTTCTGATACCTGGTGTGGTAGTGAATCTTATCAAATTGGGTTTGGGTTTATATTGAATTCCCCAGATGTTAGTTCCTATAGGAAGTATGATACCCAGGTTTTTAAATGTCCAATTGTGTATTTCCAACTTATGTAGAGATCAAGGTTGGGCACAGATGGATTGCTATGTACATTTTTTTGTGAGGTGGGTCAATATTCAAATCAGTGAGATTACAGGTCCATTTGAGCATTTGAAAGATGACAAATGGAATCATTTCCCATGTGACCATGACTTATTAGATTTTGGGGGGAACCATGGAAGTTTGAGTATACTGATAATTTAAGAACAAGGGTTAAACTAGAGGTTTGCACATGTTTTGTATTTTTCTGAAGGAAGCCTACCACCCTTGTCATCTCTTTCTTGTGATAGAATTATGGGAATTTGACTCACCTGTCTTGTGGAGGCTTTCACTCCACATTCAGATTGCTTTATCTAGATGCAAATGTCATATGTGTTTCTTATTCCTTCTCAGTCTCTGGAGACTAGTAACCCCACAGAATGTTCCTCTAGAGATGTCTGATGTGGGAAAGCTCTTCTCCAAGAAGATGCTATAAGCCTTAGAACAAACTAACTCTTGGCTTCAGCATGACTGGGTAACTGAGAATAAGGCATTTCCATGGGTGTCTCTTTCATATATGATAAGTTGAGTTGTCACAATGCACTGGCCTCAATGTGGAATGAATGAGATGGTGGTTTCTATTTTGGGCTAGGAATCAATAACCTCTTTTGACCCAAATTGCTACCACTAAGACTAAGTAACCTCCATGGCACAAACATGGTATAGAAAAGAAAGAGAATGTGAGAATGAAGGAGGAAGAAGATAGAAGTGTCTATTGGTAGCCTCCGGAGTCAGTGGAAGTAGCTGCTTTCATCCTGTCTGTTGGAAACTTCCCCTTGTGTTTCTTTCAGGGCTACATCTAGAACCTAGTTATTTAGGCTTCATTTCAAAGTCCTTCCCCACATAAACCATTGTATTGTTCCAGTGGTTCATAGGTTATAGAGCCCAAGTTTTTCCTTTCCCTTTGAGGAAGTGGGTAATGGGGTAGATAATAGGGATATTATTTCAAAAATAGGGTAGCAGTGGGCACATGTGCTCTTGAGCTATTGTATTTAGTCAGGTAACAGAAAAGGGATTCATGTTCTAGAGCCACTTCATCAGAATCTAGGGAGATATTAGGATGCAAAGGTTCAGACTGGAGTGAATGTCTTTTTGCAGAGATTGATGGTGTATTCTTTGGGGCAGGGATAGAATTGTGGCCTAGGCTCCAAAGAGTTTCCCAGTGCTCTTTAACGTGTGGTCTGTTGACTAACTGCCCTCCTGCTCTGTTCTTTTGGTTCCAGTCTATGAAGTGAGCCCCACACCTCCTATCACCGTGACCCACAAACCAGAGGAGGACACTTTTGGGGTGAGTCATATCCTGGTCAAGAAGAGTTAACTTCTCCCAAGGGGCCTGAATGGGCTTGGTTCAGGGAGACTCTGATTAGCACTACACAGAGAGAAGGAAGCTAGGTTGGTGTTTCACTAGGGAGTAAGACTGGATATTTAAAGCTGAGTTCTATGCCTCTAGAGGTAGACTGTCTTAAAATTTTTTTTTATTGATGTCTTTTGTTTTTATATCATCTTCATTTATGTATAGATATAGATGTAAACCTATCTATATCTATATCCCTTCCTTTATCCATTAAGCCATCTCTTGTAACAAAGAATAAAAAGAAAAAAAAGCAGTTTATCAAAACTAACTGACACATTAATTGAGTCCAACAGGATATGCATTGTTTCATGTAGGTAGTCCCCAAAAGAGGTGGACTTTCTACACAACATGTTGACATGGTGGTTGCCTGTTTCTCTGAGCCCTGGGAAGACCCTTTGTTCCACGTAGCATTTAGGAATCAAAGCTTTTTTGAATAAAAAAAGCAAAGGGGAAGTCATTTATGATTGGTGGTTGAGTCAGGTTCCAAATACCATTCACCAAGGATGGGAACAACTCAGAGAATGGAATCCTGGAACCAGGAGTTCTTCTTCCTACCAATTTATTGTGGTAAGTTTCTTGGGAGTCTTCAGTGTCTTGTTAATTGGTTTCTTAATGCATTTTATGCAGCAGGCACACAGCATTCTGTACTGGGAAGAGCTTCTGCTGTAAACCTCTCATTTGGGCAGAAATCACTTTTGCAGCATACTCTGTGGGACCCTGGTGTACGCCTTGATCCTGAGTAGTATGTTTTATTCCTCTAGGTATCCATAGCTGTTGGACTTGCAGCTTTTGCCTGTGTCCTCCTGGTGGTTCTCTTTATCATGATCAACAAGTACGGCCGACGGTCCAAGTTTGGAATGAAAGGTATGGTGGGATTTCCATTCATTAGTATGGGTGCCTTTGGGAAGAGCTGAATCTTTTGACTGTAGGATGCTGTTTTAATCTCCTTTAGTCCCTAAAAGGATTCTCTCCCAGTCATCCAGAGGCTAGTAATTCTTCCTAATTAACTTCACTGGGAGCTGCCTGCTCTATATCTGTGATCAGTAATTGCTCAGCCTGGGGAACAGGGGCAGGGATCTTGCCCACTGGTGCCCAAATGTGGCATCTCTGTTTCTGCTGGAACTCAGGTACAGAACTTGTTCACTGTATTGGTGGGAGCTGTGCTAGTTTAAGAAGAAAGTTGGGGATGCGACAGTGCGAGCAAGAGAAGAGACCATTTGGGTCCTGTGGTTACTGGTGGGCAGTTTGAATTCTTTCTTCTACAAACTGTAGCCAAGAAATTGTTTTATTATTCTCGGAATCCCTTCTTGGGGATCTGAAGAAAAAGTAGAGTTGCATTGGCCAGGAAGGATGTGAGCTGACTGATTCTTCTATGAAATTGTTGACCCATGGTGGTGTCTCAGCACGTAGCTCCACACAGGGTCCCAGGGCCAATGCCAAGATCAACAGGCTTTCTAAGTCCACTGGCCAGGTTCCATAACATGTAGTGTTTAGCTCCAGCACTGGGTGGTGGTGGCTTCTGGCCAATGTTGGTGTAACAGGTCTAGCATGAGAGGGGTTAACATGGTAAATTAGTGTCCCTCCATGAATTCCCAATTGGGGGCAGGGATAGGCCTGTCCAAATGAGATATGGGAGGTTGTGGCACCAATCTTAAACCTGGAACTTTTTCAAGACTTACTCTGAGCTCAGAATTCCTTTCCATATCTGGACTGGGTTAAATAAAAGGTATGGCCTGACATTTTCTGCCTCCTGTAGAGGATTTATTTTAGGTGCTGAGCATGGAATCAGGTTGATGTTTTCCCAGTAAAGTTATGAGGAATGAGGAGAATTAGAAATGCTTACAAAGTGGTGGACCTATCCCCGTTAGCAAATGGTATCAAGGAATTGAGAAAAGAATGGAGAAATGAAAGGGAAAACTTGAAGTTCTTGGACACATTGGCTCTGTGTCTTCCCTGTCCTTCTGGCTTTGAGGAATTTGGGACATCACATCCTAATGAACTGCATTACTTTAATATTAGCTATATGGGCCAAAAAATGTAACTGGGAGAAAATGGACTAGATTAAAATAAGAAGGTAGGAGACTGTCACTGTACTAGAAGACATGAATAAGATTGATTTGCTTTTGTAAACCAACCTGGAATAAGCATGTTTGAACAACTGGAACTCTCCAGGTGCCAGATGTGCTAAGCTTCATATATCCAAGAATGTGGTAGAGTTATTCTTGAGGCTTTTAAGGTGTCTGTGAATGTTTTCCTTTTAAACAGTTATGTCTAGGATAATCATGCTTAAGTGATCTTCTCTAATTAAGACAATTTTTCCTTAGCTGCCCTTCCCACCATTTTCAGAAATACTATCCCCCTCCCCCCTCTCTGATAAGAGAGAGAGGGAGCTGCCTCTCATTCCTGAAATGAAGCACCACCAGCTGAGACCTTGCCACTTGCTTGGCAATGCTCAGAGAGCAGATTTTTCCTGTTAATTGTCATAATGCTCCTGAAACAGCGTGTCCCCATGTCGGATGAATTACCCTGTGTGCTGGGTTGGCTCCACTCAGCCACACTCTGTGAACCCTTTTCTCCTCCATCCTTCTGGATCCCCACTCTCAAGTTTAGATCTTACTAAGGTTTGGGATAGGATGTTGATCCAGGTTAGTAATAAATAAGGAATTTCTTTGGGCTTAAGGCCAGATGCCACCATGAAGCTGGGAAAGAGTCTGAGGCAAAGTGGAAAGGCAATGTCTCTTGAACTGATGACATCTGATAATGAATCCTATTGAAGGATCCTCTGGTTGTGTAGAATTCTCTGATCTTTATCAGCTTAGTTTGTGGCTAGATGTGAAAGTATCCCTGAGATGATATTGAGGCTTCATACTCAGCTGCAAGATGAGGGAACTCCCTTTAGTGACTAAAGCAAAGGTAAGAAGGGAGGTACCCTTAGCCTCTCCTTGCTTATAGATGGGAATGGAAATTGAAATATTTTGTGCTATTGTTGTGGAAAAGATGGGGAGCTATGTACTAGGCAGCAGTACAATTAGGTGAGTTCAGAACTGGCTGAATCAAAAGATCCAAATGGTAATTGTTAATGTTTCCATGTCACTTTGGAAGGAGGTCTTCTGTGGAATGCCCTAGGTATCAGTGCTTGGTCCTGTACTGTTTAACATTTTTCTCAATAACTTTACTAAATGCTTATTGTGGCATGGTTATCAGATTTGCAAATAATACATAACAACACACACTTCAATCACAAAAAACCTTAGCAGTCTATAATGTTGGGTTGAACTGAATAGAGTGAAAGCTAATAGGAATAAATAGAAAGTCTTGCACTTGGATTCAAAAAATCAACTTCAGAAGTTCAAGTTAGTGGAAGCATGGCTAGGCAGCAATTTGTCTGCAAAAAAAAAAAGATGGGAGGCCTTAGTGGACTTTAGTAAGATCAGTATAAGTCAAGAGTGTGATATAGCTGCCTAGAGAGTTAATGTAATCTTAGGCCCAATTGAGAGAGGCATTGTGTCCAGAAACAGGAAGGAAATAGCTCTTGTGTACTCTGCCATGATCAAGTCTGGATGAATTTGCTGAGTTCTGAGTGCTAAAATTTAAAAAGGACAATAAAAAGATAGAAAGTGTCTAGAGGAACACCCAGGATAATGAAAGACCTTAAGATCATCCTGTCTGAGAACCAGTTAAAGGAACTGTTGATGTTGACCTTGAAAACATGATACTTGGGGCAGTGGGGAGAAAACTGTGTGGACATGATAGCTGTCTTCAAGTATTTGAAGGGAAGTCATGTGAAAAAGGGTTGAGATCTGTTCTTGGCCCCAGGTAAGAACTAGCACAGGTAAAAGCTACAGGCTTGACATAAAGGGGGGAAATTCCTAACAGAGATGTCCAAAAAGAAGCAATTGGTTTCTGTCTTATTGAAAGCAAAGTCTTTTTAATTTTTTTTTAAATTATTCATTTTAAGTTTTCAACATTCACTTCCATAAGATTTTGAATTCCAAGTTTTCTCCTCTTCTCTCCCCTCCCTTCATACCAAGACAGTATGTAATTTTATATGGGCTATACATATACATTCATATTGAACCTATTTTCACATTAGTCATGTTGTAAAGCAGAATTAGAACCAATGGGAGAAACCACAAGAAAGAAGAAACAAAAAAAAAAGAAAAAAGACAGAGAGCAAATAATATGATCTGCAGTCAGATTCCATAGTTCCTTTTTTTGGATATAGATAGCATTTTCCATCATGAGTCCTTTGGAGTTGTCTTGGATAAAGGAAGGTCTTTAAAGAAAAGTAAGGTGACCATTTGTCAAGTATGTTGTTGAGGATAATTTGGACAAGATGGTCACTGAAGCCTCTCTCAATTCTGAATTTGGTGAGAAGTGTAATTCTCAGCCATTTCAGGATTATATGGGCATCATCCTATCACCCCAACCCTAATACTAGCTCCTGCCATCAGGCTAGAGAAAAGGTATTTCATTTTTTTAACCAGAACAAAAAAGTCACCTCAGGTGTCAACTCTGGTTTTGTTTTGGTTTTTTTGCTCTGTGTTGATCAAGATGCTTCATACTTCTTTTATTCCAGGAGTTATTTGAGATCTTTTCAGAATTTTATTCATTGTTATTTCTTGCTCGTGTGCCATAGGTCCAAACCTCCTTTTTATAACACAACCAGCAGAGAAACCAGTCATCCTATGTGGGTGGGAAAATGGGTGCATGGAAGGACTGTACTAGGAGTTTGCCTAGAATTATGGGGAAGGAGCATAGGAGGGTAGGAGAGAGTAGAATCAAAGAGAAGTGAATCAGAGGCAATTTCAAAAATGCTAGGTTATTCATCAGAGTCTAATGAGATAGTATATGAATGAAGGGAATCCTGCTAATGTAAAGTCCACTCTCTTCTGGACAGGAGCACTCTTTAATTAATTAATTAAACAGCTTTTACTAAGTGTCTACTGTGTATAAAGCACTGTATTTCAGGTGATGCTTCCACTCAGTTTTAAAACAAAGTTGTTCTGTGTGTGAAGTGAATGTGGTCAGCACTCCATTATAGGTATCAGCAAAAGCTCCATTGTTTCTGATGCTATTTTATTGACTGGAGTTTTGGATAGGAAAGTGGTGTCAGAATGAGGTCAGGGCTCATATTTGCTCCTTCTTGTGTATGCCTTGTGGCAGAGCTAGAAAGACCTCTCTGGATTAATCCCTTCATTTTACAGATAAGGGAACTAAGACCTAGAATGGTAAAGTGACATCATTTTGTCATAGTTTGTTGTGAAAGTGTGGTTAGATGAGCTACATTCTAATACCAGCTCTTAGAAATTGGAAGTAACTTAAGAAAGAAAATTTAAAAGTTACACATCCCCCTTGTGCCTCAGTTTCTCCATTTGCAAAGTGGGAAAAAATGCCCACCTTCTGTATTTCCCTGAGTGGTTAGGATAAAATTAAATAATAGATATTAAAGTGCTTGGACAGTGACAGTGAGACAACTATTGTAAAGAGCTTTAGAGGTAATTTTAAGGAGAGAGAGGGGTAGAGAGGGAGGGAAGGAGAGACTGAGAGACTCCACCATTCCACAACAGGATACATTGGAATTGGATATATTATACTACATCCTTTTCCTGTGATCCTCAGGGATATCACCATGACAAAATGAAGTCTCAGATCAGAGAATATGTGAGATTTTTGTTCTCTATACTTCAGATTTCTTCTTCTCTTTCATAGGAACAAATCTGGCCTCCGCCTCTTCTCTGTTTGTACTTGTACTTGGGTGTCTTGGCTTCGCAGGGGGGAGCCTATCAGAGGTCTGGGAAATGGGGTATTAATCTGAATGGATGTCTCCCTGCCATCCTAGTTAGATTATTTTCATCTTGTAC